AATTAACGATACGGGTGCAGGTGGGCCGTACTATATGAATTATAAATAAGTTGTATGGCTACTTATAGATATGTGGTATTTATAGATATATATTTTAGCTCTATAGATAAGTCTAACAGTAGACACTTTAAACATTAGGCGGTGGTACACGAGATGCGTACGTGTTATGAAACATGTTGGCCAGAATATCATGAATAGGGGAACTACCACAGGCATTAAGTTGGTATAATAATGAAACGTGAGTAAATTGAAAACATTAACGCCAGACAATAATCAGTGTCGAATAATTACTGACTAGGTGTAAAAGATAAATAGTGACGAGCATTACATGCAAAGATAAATAGTGACGAGCATTACATGCAATGATAAATAGTTACGAGCATTACACCAAGAGATAAATAGTGACGAGCATTACACACAGAGATAAATAGTGGCGAGCATTATATAGAGAGATACATAGTGACGAGCATTCCATAAGAGACAAATTAGTGACGAGCATTACATAAAGAAATAAATAATGACCAGCATTGCGTACAGAGATAAATAGTGACGAGCATTACATAAAGCGATAAACAGTGACCAGCACTGCGTACAGAGATAAATAGTGACGAGCATTACACACACAGATCAATAGTGACGAGCATTACATAGACAGATAAATAGTGACGAGCATTACATAGGCAGATAAATAGTGACGAGCATTACATCCTGAGATAAATAGTGACGAACATTACATAAAGAGATAAACAGTGACCAGCACTGCGTACATAGATAAATAGTGACGAGCATTACACACAGAGATATATAGTGACGAGCATTGCATAGAGAGATAAATAGTGACGAGCATTACATAAAGAGATAAACAGTGGCCAGCACTGCGTACAGAGATAGATAGTGACGAGCATTACACACAGACATAAATAGTGACGAGCATTATATAGAGAGAAACATAGTGACGAGCATTCCATAAGAGACAAATTAGTGACGAGCATTCCATAAAGAAATAAATAGTGACAAGCATTACATAGAGAGATAAATAGTGACCAGCATTGCGTACAGAGATAAATAGTAACGAGCATTACACACAGAGATCAATAGTGACGAGCATTACACACGGAGATAGATAGTGACGAGCATTACATCCTAAGATAAATAGTGACGAGCATTACACACGGAGAAAGAAAGTGACGAGCATTACACACAGACATAAATAGTGACGAGCATTACACACGGAGATAGATAGTGACGAGCATTACATCCTAAGATAAATAGTGACGAGCATTACACACGGGGATAGAAAGTGACGAGCATTACACACAGACATAAATAGTGACGAGCATTACACACGGAGATAGATAGTGACGAGCATTTACACACAGACATAAATAGTGACGAGCATTATATCCTAAGATGAATAGTGCCGAGCATTACTTACTGAGATAAATAGTGACGAGCGTTACACACAGAGATAAATAGTGACGAGCATTACATACAGAGATAAATAGTGACGAGCATTACATACAGAGACGAGCATAATATAGAGAGATACACAGTGACGAACATTGCATCAAGAGGTAAACAGTGACGAGCATTACACACAGAGATAAACAATGACGAGCATTACATACAGAGATAGGTAGAGCATTGCATACAGATTAATGTGATAATCGTATGTTCGCCACTCACACAATTTGAATATCAAAACAAATCGAATATTTGTCTAACGCTGTACAAAGGAACGGGTCAACCACGGGATGTAAACAATCGATTCTGGCCCAGACAATCCAATAAAACTGCTTTCACTGATTTTAAGGTTACATGCAACCAAAAAATCAAACATTGTATAACATTTTGCAATCAACAGACATCATAACATGTCATGTGTTCAAGTATCACACCTGCCTGTCTGTGTAATTACATAATGTGACAGAGACCGAACTCGGGCCATAAATCAATGCAGTTTGTTTATGGTGTATAGCCTGATTGGTGTTCATTTCAAATTGCATGTGGTCAGTGATCGCAGTTGTGTATTGAATATTGTCATTAGCAGACTGGCAGGCAGACACACTGGTGTCAATAAAACAAAACATTGAGTTTTGTCTGTGACAGCGACATATCTATATCACAGTTAGAAATCGTGTCAACTCTAAATAATGCTTTTAAGTATCGAACTGAGAAAGTGTCTCGGTAAGAAGAACGTGTGGTGAAATAGACAAATGAAATTATATAAACAGTTTATTTACTGTCATAACATACAAAAAGCTCGCACCTGTGAGATATCAACAAAACATTATGAAACTAGCTCACACCAAAGCCTTCACCGAGTATTCACCAGACAGCCCGCTTCCAAGTTGCGCGAACCTATTTCACTGTGCACGTGCTATGAGCGCAGCCAGCTGTTGAAACCCGTATTCCCCAGAAAAGTCTGGAAAAAAATTAGTGAAACGTTTGAACTCCGATTTCGCGCGGTTTTTTTCATCGCGTTATTTTTCAACTTTATAAGTTGAATTTGCATTTTTCACGCTTTGTTTCGGTATGTCCATACCGAAAGGTATCAGAATCTGCAAAGTTGTGTTTTACGTTGCATGTGACCTTTAACGAGAGGTTCTGTTGCAGTCCAACAAACACATGCTCAGTTTTAATGTTCTCGAAATTATTTAATGTCTTCCAATTCATGTCATAATGTAATCACAAGCTGTTCATCATTTAAGATACGGATGTCACTGAAATCACTCTTGATATTTGCAATGTCTATTGTTCGTTCGTATATTATTTGTATTGATGTTTGGTGGTGGTTTCATGCTTCATACGCCTATTACAATCACCGATATCACTGCGAGCAAATGAAAACAGAAAGATAAGAACCGACATATATTACACAGGACATCAAGGCAAATACATTCAAGAGTACTACATTTTTCAGTTTTTCGTCGTATATTTCTAATTTCTTAATTGATTATTATTCAAATAGGAATGTAGCCATACACTACCGGAATCAATATAATCATATACTTACTGAAATGTTATAGCAATACATTCACTGAAGGAACATAGCCATATATTTACCGAAGGAACATAGCCATATATTTACTGAAGGAACATAGCTATATATTTATCGAAGGAACATAGCCATATATTTACGGAAGGAACATAGCCATATATTTACCGAAGGAACATAGCCATATATTTATCGAAGGAACATAGCCATATATTTACGGAAGGAACATAGCCATATATTTACCGAAGGAACATAGCCATATATTTACTGAAGGAACAAAGCCATATATTTACTGAAGGAACAAAGCCATATATTTACTGAAGGAACAAAGCCATATATTTACTGAAGGAACATAGCCATATATTTACCGAAGGAACAAAGCCATATATTTACTGAAGGAACAAAGCCATATATTTACTGAAGGAACATAGCCATATATTTACTGAAGGAACATAGCCATATATTTACTGAAGGAACAAAGCCATATATTTACTGAAGGAACAAAGCCATATATTTACTGGAGGAACATAGCTATATATTTACTGAAAGACCATAGCCATATATTTACCGAAGGAACATAGCTATATATTTACCGAAGGAACATAGCCATATATTTACTCAAGGAACATAGCCATATATTTACGGAAGGAACATAGCCATATATTTACTGAAGGAACATAGCTATATATTTATCGAAGGAACATAGCCATATATTTACGGAAGGAACATAGCCATATATTTACGGAAGGAACATAGCCATATATTTACGGAAGGAACATAGCCATATATTTACCGAAGGAACATAGCCATATATTTACCGAAGGAACATAGCCATATATTTACTCAAGGAACATAGCCATATATTTACCGAAGGAACATAGCCATATATTTACCGAAGGAACATAGTCATATATTTACTCAAGGAACATAGCCATATATTTACTCAAGGAACATAGCCATATATTTACCGAAGGAACATAGCCATATATTTACCGAAGGAACATAGTCATATATTTACTCAAGGAACATAGCCATATATTTACTCAAGGAACATAGCCATATATTTACTGAAGGAATATTACTGAAAGTCGACATATTGGAACCTAAGTGTACATTTACTGACGAAGCGTAGCCCTGATCTGAAGAACGTTCAACGATTTACGAAATCATATGTCGTCTAAGAAATAATGCAGCCTTTAGTGACACTTTTGCTAAAAATCAAAAGACATTGCTAGATTGTATGATACACAAAGTCAAGATAGCACTAACAATAGCCCCCTAGAATTAAAAAAACGGCACAACCACGAAGGTCTATAGCATATGTGATGCTGAAAGATAACAGAAGCGTATCCTTTGCGGCCTTGTGGTTAAAGGGTTCGCTCGTCAACATAAGACCCGGGATTGAATCCCCACATGGGTACAATGTGTGAAGCCCATTTCTAGTGTGATATTACTGTAATATTGCAACAAGCGGCGTAAAACTAACCTCACTCCTATATCCATTTCGAGCATATGACAGTTATCTGAAAGGACAATCGATGGCGCTGCTCTGGAGTTACCAAGGAACATCAGCATCAGACGAATAGGCCACCGTCGCATGGTGGGAATACACCCCTGTCACGTCATGCAATAAATACCATTTTTAGGCAAGTTTTGTGAGTAACGGATATTACCGGCAGCTCAGGACGTGCCTACCCTGATACGCTAACACCTGATACGCTGTCATTGCTGAGATCCGTTCGTACAACTCTTTTCCCCTTTACACCTTATATACTTTGTTTGTGTTGAAAGTCTAGACTGTGTGTTCTTTCTTTTCACTTTTCACTTTCTTTTTATGTATTGTTTTATGCTTGCTACTAGACGAGTTGACCCTAGACGCACTACCGTGCTTTTACCTCAGTGAGTGAGCACTGATACAACCACAACACCAAGACTTTTCAAGACTTTTTATAAAACATATTCACACTGTCACAAAAGCTACTAACAATATAACCTAATTCAATGCCATTCAGTATTTTATTTCATTATTAATACAAACACGTTATGTCTCAACCATGACACTTTGGTGCAGGAACTGCTGGCAACTCCTTAACTTTTACAAGATGAGTGAGACCTGGAACAGAATGTTTTAATTAGTTATATACCTAATTACTCATAATAACTTATTCATTGCAGTTATTGCTATATCTACTAGAACATAACACGAAAATAATAAGTGGGCAGATTGCACTTTCATGATGTTTAGGAACTCTGGCTACACAAAACACCTGAGACTTACCAGCCAGAGCAGACTGGAAACCTGAGTTGTAGTCGCAGGCCACCTCGTTGTGGACGTAGTCCTCCCTGTTGTCCTTGTAGGAGTCATCACTACCAGGGCCTCCCACTATGGCGCCCACAAGGACATGGGGGCTGGGACCGGAAGAGTGTAAGTTGACCTCTGAGCAGGGAGCTGGAATGTTGGGACAGGAGCTGAAGCGAGGAATGAAGGTAACGTGACACTCATATACGACGTACATAAATATGAGTAAAACTTAGTATTAGTGGTGGTCCGATTATTTGAAATAATCGAAGATTGGTCGCAATGACTAAACGACTAAGCAATCGATCATGTTTTCTCATAATCGAACACAAACAATTTTGGAACACTTGTTTGCATTAACAACATTTTTCGAAAGGTTGGTTATGTCTGTTACATTTCATAAGTACTACAAGCTCATTCCAAGTCATGATTGAATTTATCTTAAAGATTCCAGGAAATTTATGCTCCTAACATTATAGTCATCCTTTAAAGATGTGAAATTTGTAAATGCATTTTGTGCATTTTGCAAAAAAAAAAAGAACTACATGTTTTTTGTATTTTTTTTGTGCATTAACAAACATAACCAGGAGAATTTGATAAATCTTGCTAACCATTTTCTTTCGATGATTGATCGGTTGTAATGAACCAGTCATCAATTGTGAGATTTTAACCAATTCCCAACACTACTGCAAAATATGCAATATAGAACACTAACACCTATTAGACTACTGAAATGTAAGTGACCATGTATATTTGAACGTTGTTCCTGACCTCTAATGACGGCACCGAGTCTTCAATAATTTTCAGAGGGCCATTCATAAAATCTTCACTGTTCTTTTGCCCTTCACATGTCTTCAAAGAGAAACCTGGGAATTCTGTTGCACTGATGTTACTGATTTACATGAGGGGCGGTGGGGTAGCCTAGTGGGTAAATCGTTGGCTCGTCACGCCGAAGACCCGGGTTCAAATCCCCACTTGGGTACAATGTGTGAAGCCCATTTCTGGTGTCCCCCGCCATGATGTTGCTTGAATATTGCTAAAAGCGGCATAAAATCAAACTCACTCACTCACTCACTCACTTTATTTACATGACCTTCTGATAACCACGTGTTTCACGGACAGATATAGGATTATTAATTAATCACACGTATTTTTAAGAAAGTGGAACTAAGAAGTATTGTTTTGGTTAAATCCGTATAAAGTCAAGAGTATTGTGTTGAAAGACATAGTTTCAAGTTGCAGCAAATTATGGAATACACCTTTGACAGCGTCCGAATAAGGTTGCAGCAAGTTACAGTCTGGACCGTAAACTTCCCGGATGTGCAAAAGAATGTAGTGACAATAGCAACAAACATTAATTTTGTTTTTAAAGACATCCACGAGTTATTGTTAAAAATGGAATTTTACAGTGTTTCACCAGTGAAAAACAACTTACGCAGATCTGTGATGAGGATTCCTGGGGTATTTGGAGCCGAAGCCGATCTGGTAGCTGATGCCGTACTTGTTGTCCCCGAGGATGTAGTTGATCTGCTCAACTGCCCACTTCCTGTAGGTTGCAGTGTCAATACCAGCATCAGCAGCCAACAGCGCAACAAAGGCAGAGTTAGCTGCAGATACAAGTGACAGAGAGTGTCAAACGGATATACTTTATGACCCAATGAAGATCACTTTCTAGTCCAGTACAGCTTGGCCATGAGTACAACTGATCAAATTTCATTATATTGATATAATTCACCTGCACCTTTTCTCTGAAGCATCTGATAGCAGCTTCTCTATTTTGAGTGAGTGAGTTAGTGAGTCGGGGTTTACTCCGCCTTTAGCAATATTCCAGCAATATCACGGAGGAGGACACCACGACTGGCGAAAACAGCCATCAGTTGGTACCTTGGCTGATTGATGACAACTGTGTGGAGGACAACTTCTTGTTTATGGCATAGAGCGACGTCTTCACGTAGATTCCTACACTATTATCAAGCTAGAAGAATCAAAACGTCGATCTGTGCAATAAATAAGGAGTTGCCACCCATAAAGTTGTTAGCTTTGTATTTTTGGCTAATGCCGATCAAACAGCCTACAATAAAAGTTTGCATTCTTTTTATTCAGGAACACAGTGGAGTACGTATCCTCACGAAGTGCACCCTCGTGGTGATTTCCTGTTTTAAATAATACACTTTTAGAACTAGCATTAACGTTTTTCTCAACTCTGTCCCGGACTCCTGCGATATTTGTCATACTGACCTGCATATCTGTTGGAGCCCCACTGGTCTCTCCACGCCTGTCCACATGGAGTGTAGGTGATGGAGCCACCAGGGAGCCAGCCCTTGAAGAAACCCACCACTTCCGCTTTGTAAGCAGAGTCCTTGGTAGCCTCGTACAACAGCAGCTGAATACAGGGACAGGGTAAGGTAAGCATGGATGTAATACAGATCACTAGATATATGTATTCATCAGTATCCACCTTTCCATGAGACCCGTGAAGATCTGGGGTAGAATGGATATTCAGTTACCCATGCTTGTCGTAAGAGGCAACTAACGGGATCGGCAGGTCAGGCTCGCTGACTTGGTTGACACATGTGATCGTATCCCAATTTCGTAGATCGATGCTCATGCTGTTGATCACAGGATTGTCTGGTCGAGACTCGATTATTTACAGATCGTTGCCTTATAGCTGGAATATTGCGAAGTGCGGCGTAAAACTAAACTCACTCGCTCGCTCACTCACTCAATCACCTTTCCATGACATTAATGGAATATGGCTCATACTCTAATACGTTCTCTAAATTTTACAACACAACAAGCTGGGTTTTTTACTATATATTATCCTTATTTGAAGAAGTCAAAACGATACAATTCCAGTTACACTGTTTGTTTCAGAAATGGTAATGAAATATGTTGTGAATATTATATAAATATTTAGGAAATATGTAGCCCTGATTTATTAGTTTTGGGGAACTGAACAAAAGAAGACAATAACAACATGTTATTCATTTTGACACAAACAGCGCCCAATCCAAAGTTCAAACATGTTTAACTCATCATTATCATTATCACCCTTTGTCTGAATAAACACCACGGATTCGTAACAAGTACAGAGAAACCTGGGTGCTGTATATTGTTTTAGTAGATACCTGATCAACATTGTCTTAAGTGTACATTTGTCTGGTTATGTTAATTTGGAACATCTGAGTAACAGTGAAACACGTAACGCATATTGATAAATGTAAGTGGATAAACCATGTAATAGGGACAAAGCTCTGGATGGTCATTCAGGTTTGTGTCTCCCCATTGTCAAATGTCGACATGAGAATTCGCCACGTGTATCACATCATTTACTGTCCTTCATCATAAATGACAACGAAACTGGGTTATGAAAGATATGTATTGACTGCCAGTAGCCTGCTTCAGTTCCTCTTCATAACGATGGTTGTTGTGTTTGCTTGGATGTTGTTTAACGCCGCACTCAGCAATATTACAGCAATATGGCGGCGGTTTGTGAATAATCGAGTCTGCACCTGACAACCCAGTGATCAATATCATGAATATTGATCTACGCAAGTGGAATGCGATGACATCTGTCAACCATGTCAGAGAGCCTGATCGTCCGATGCCGTTAGTGCCTCTAACGACGAGAAATGGTTGCTGAAGGAAGATTTTAAACCGGATCTTCACTGGTCAAAAATGTCGTACAGAAAACACTCTTGTGAACACATCACCACACAGTCAAAAACAAAATTGCCCTTCAACATGAACAAGACAAAGACTTGTTTCACCTGGCAAGCGACTTTCTTGTCGTCCCATCCCAGAGCCCACGCCCAGGCATTCTCGTGGAATCCCTTGGCATCGGCCAGGTAGGACTTGTCATTTGTTGCCTTGTATAGCCACATGGCGCCCTCACACATCTCGTCCTTGTCATCACTTGATCTGAAGTAAATGTTCATGAAAACTGTAGTATGTGGACACTACGGTATATACATATATGAGAGACAACTCCTGCAGCTTTATGTGACGGTAGCGGCCAGCCGATTAGAGTTGCGTTCCTTGGTGACCTTGCATGTAACCCCACCTCCGTAGTTAACAATGAACGTTGAAGTCACGGCTTTATGTGTTCTGTTCGGCTGCGGCCTTAGAAGTGTATAGTATTCAAATGAACAACATAAACTGTTTAATTTAATCGGGTAAACATAATCCGCTGGACCTTGATTCAAGTCAAATTGCCAAGTCACTTGATAACGTTTATCCCATTTGGAATTTATCATAAGTGATCTTATCGCAACCATATACCCTATAATGATCATCACAACATCCACAGAGCGATAATGTGTCCAAGTCACCTTCCTCCTCTACAAACGTAGTTGCCAACCATTGCAGCTCTGATGCCAACAACACGCCTGTATATGGCTTACAGAATTTGCGCTTTAAGGGGAAACACGAAGCATTCGTTACTTTCCAGCTGAAGAAGATGACTAGGTATTTCCTCAAAAGCAAAATGAAGAATTCAGAGCTTGGTTTGAACTGGTATGAAGTGTGCCATCACTCTAAATGTAGGCTATTAGCTTATATACATCAATATGCCATTCAGGTGCGAAGAAATACTTTACGTGTAACCTTAAACATCACAAGATCGCTAAACATACCTACGAGCATAATGGCACGTGTCTATGGATGAATATATCCATATGTTAGAATTGATATGCGTACGGTTAGAGCGTCACTCTGAAAATGACATGCACAAAGACCATACGTACGAGTAGAACTGGCCGGCATCCGAGATACTCTGACTGTACTTTCCAGGGTACTTCTTTCCGAACGCATAGATTTGCTTGGATGCAGCCAGAAGTTTATTTGCGTAGGCATGATCTAGCATGGGAAACATTTTGTCATGTCAGCAAGATATCCACTAATGACTGATCAGTATGTCATCTACTATAGGTAAGAGGACAGATGTTTCAACAACATATTGTTACAATTGTACTTTACGTGCTCTGTGCTTATCTATTATAAGCTTCACCATTTGCAGATCTGACCAAAATATGGAAAAGAATGTAACACTCACGGACTGATACTGATAACCTTATACATTTCCTGGACGTATTTCTCACCTCTCTGTTTGAATGCCAGATACCCAGCAGCTAGGGAGGCAGCAATCTCTCCAGCAACATCTGATCCAGGTTTGCTTGGTGTGAGTTTGTAGGCGGGTCTGGCCATCTTCATGTCCTCAGCACGGCCCCAGAAGTGGTGGTCGTCATTGCCTTCTCCAACCTTTTTAAAACCAGAAACTAAATATGGGAACACAAAATAATATAGTGATCAGTGTGTTTACAACGTGTGTTGAATAGTTACTCACGATTATCTACCCAAACAGATTACACACGGGGTAAACATGGCGTCCTTCTATGCTGCAACACGGGCCAATCACACTTTCGACATGCAGCCATATTAACCCTGTATCTGGTAATACTGCGATAGCGGCAGACATACAAGCGAGTTATTTTTATTTGCAACTTTGCATCATCTATTGCTCAAGGTGCAGTTTATGATCTATTCCACATTGTTCAGCCATACCCATCAGTACAAACCTGCTTTAGAATACACCTGGTATACTGCATCTCACCTGTGCATACAGCGTCTGACTGGATGGAATCCAGCACTTCAAGTAGTAGTCCAAGGGCCACTTGATCATGTCAAAGAATTTGTCTGTTTGTTTCGTTGTGGCATAGGCATCTTTCCACTGTAAGTAGCCCCACAGCAGGAGGGTGGAGGAGCTGGACATGGGCAAGCTGAACTTGACGTGGTCACCGGCTGGAGGGAAGAGTAAGTACATTGGAAGCCCTCTAAACCGGCATGCATTGGGACCGGCAAAAATGGCGGTATAGAGGGCCTGCCAGTTAGAGAACCTTTGTAGTTCAAAGTCTCTTTTTACGAGGACACGGAAAAGTACCAGAGAGAGTCATAACTTACAGAAAAATAAGGGAAGCTGAACCCAAAAGTCTCCTCACAACTTTTGAGGTAAATCCAGCATGCTCATTATACCAAGTGTCCAAACAACGTCAAGTGATTAAAATACGAAATGGTGTTCGAAAAGGACATTTCAGAGTTTCAAACTTCATTGACAAAGAATATAAATTCCCTATTTTAATTCGATCATTTTGACTTGGACAGTGTTTATGGGTTCTAAATACATGTATAACCAAACAGAGTCCAGAGAACTACTGACCATCATACCAGCCTCCGGTCAGATCCTCCCCATTATCTCCCTTGTCTCCCAGGGCGGAGTCACCTCGCCACTTGATGGGGTTGTTGGCTGGAAGTTTACCGGATCTCTGAGCGTCATAGAACAGGATGGACTTGCCAAGAGCCTCGCCATAGTTGTATCTTGCTGCCGAAGCTGCAGCCGCTAGAGCTGCCAATACCAACACCAGCATGATGTCTGAGGAGAACAGAAAATACTATCTAGATTATCCTTCGGTAATGTTTCAATAAAAGCAACAAATAAACATTTCTAATAATCACGATAAAATCTACTTAAAACAGAGTATAATTCCGAGAGAAATGGCATCAGCATGTGTCTATGAATCACTATCAAGTAGTAACGACACCAGGTGTTCAAGAAATACGTGAGCGGATTCTGCCCCAGCGACAGAGCCCATAATAAACACTTGCAATGACGTGAGATTGTTTCACCTGAACAGGAACATCTGGCCTAAGTCACAAGGAGATTGTACCTGACATCACGTTGGTGGGAAACACGACTCACGTAACACCCGTTTGTTACACAAAGCATGCTGCGAGTGCCAACATTCTGATATCACTGGATATCAAAGGATATCGGGGCGGTGTGGTAGCCTAGAGGTTAGAGCGTTGGCTCGTCACGCCGAAGACCCGGGTTCGAATCCCCACATGGGTACAATGTGTGAAGCCCATTTCTGGTGTCCCCCGCCTTGATGTTGCTGGAATATTGCTTAAAGCGGCATAAAACCAAACTCACTCACTCACTCATTTATTTACATGACCTTCTGATATTCAGAGGACAAGTTGTAAGGACAGAAATATGATGATTAATTAATCACACGTATTTTTAAGAAAGTGGAACTAAGAAGTATTCTTATGGTTAAATCCATATAAAGTCAAGTAAGTCAGTCAGTCAAAGGATATCACTGATACTCATTCTAAATATGTGCAAAAACAGCGTTTCACCCAGCTCACTCATCCACAACTGTCATTGATGTGAGTTTTTATGGGTCACTATGCATAAATATCAACTTGTTGGACATATTATACATGGTTGTCAGGGGTGTAACATCAACGTTACATGTGTCATCAAGGTGTCCCTCATTAATCCATATCTGTAGACGGATGGCCTTGAAGAGCCATGTAATAATGGCCACATGCTGCTAATGTCACCGCTATGTGTTGATAAGGTAATTGCGTTTTCCTTTAGCAAATGGACAATCAAACCCACTCCATTGTGTAAATCTGGCATTGCAGATCCTAACATATTTTCTGGAAAAATGTGTTGATATCTGTTTTAAATGTTTCATTTTACACATTTCCACAACAATACGTATGTCTGAAAACATAAACAATTAGGGGAATAACAATAAATATAGTTATATTTTTTTTTTTTAATTTATGTCGTCCAAATTAGCGGGAACTAATCCTCACATGTTCTATCTTCCATACATTCTAAACTGGACATGTGTTGTGAAGGAGATCGATGTAAGACTGACCCACAGATAGAAGCATAGAAATCTGAAGCTCCGAAAAACACAGTGTCATTGTGTCTACATAACTGCCAAACAATCTGTCTATATAGATAAACTAGAGGTAGGCAATGCTATCCAAAACATGTCGCACCTCTCTCCCATCGATGGTATGGTATCTTACCGCAATATGGAATCAGCTATATACCTCACGTAGTCTCCGAATGCATGTTTGCTACTGCTACATTAAATGTCTCACCTTTGTTGAGGTTGCTCCAAACCTAAGTCTTTCCTTTTTATAAATAAACATTTAGTTTTGTCTGATATGGCCAAATGCGTATGTGTTTCTAAAGGTTCATTATTAATAAAGGCAAGTCCTTCACCCATAATGGTATTTTCATAATATGGTGCTTCAAGACGTATGAAGACCAGATTGTGCCAGAGACTGACGGGAGTTTAGATATTAGACTAACACTCCTGAAAACATGACAAACCATCATTTCCCATCAGTGGTATCCTTACCTGTAACCCGGAGCTGTTGCAGGATGGCTACCACCTGCTACCATCCTTATCGGATAGTGGTTGATGAACACAAGCACATGAGAGAGTCGAATCATGCTGTCGATATTTGGTCAAATACCATAACATTGTTCGTAAACATCTAACAACCGATATCTGTCGGAATACTGTTTAAATCTTTTGCTTAATTTTCATATATTACAGATCCTAAGAACCAAATCGGCTGTTTTGAGAGATGGTATTTCATTTGAGGCATACACAGGATGAAGATGTTCGATAACATACATTCACTTCTTTAACCATGATCTCGGTGTCCTGTGATAGAAGTGACATGGCAAGCATGCGTGCCACAGAATAATTCGTATATCAGTCGTGAAAACCTAGCAGTTGAAACATACACTGTATACACAGGCTTACCTCCTGCCTTCCGACCTGTTACAAGGCTACAATAGACACTGTAGTCGTCCCACCTCGCCTCAAATAGTTACCAAGCACCCGTCTTATCTTGTAAGCTACTTATCACTCACCAATAACAATGAAACACGTAGACCCAAGTCGCTTTACATAGGAACGTTTAAAAGTATCATACACATTTAGAACCGTTTGTAAAATTAAAAATGTTGAAGGATTTGCCACAGCGTGGGCGTGGCCAAACGTGAGTCTGTGTACACGGCACATGCCACAAATCATGTCAGCAATGTTTGGCAGCATGAGTGTCTTTGGTCCTCCCCACACTGAAGCAAATACACTCCCATTGGATCTGGAAAGGAACACTGACTGCACAGGAAGACATTGCCCGTGGTTAACAGTGGCATGTGTATTTCATTGATGATTGCATGCAGGCTCATAATGACTCAGTGAATTATGCCATTGGTACAATAACGAAGACCCATCAGAGCTGTGTAGGAGGGGCATGAATGTGGTGATTTAATGTCAACGACAAAATTCATTATTTCCACAATTATTTTGATGTAGAGCAAAGCCGGGCCTTCCGAGTATTTGGGTGGGTGACCGTCATGGCTTCTGATAGCGTCTAGGGCTACCTACTGAAGCATATGCAGTGTTTTCTTGGCAAATGTAAGCAGTGCATGAGTATCCGGAATAGCTGTTGTCAGACTAAAAATCGAGTAAAAATGATCCATTGTAGCTCCACGAGTATAAACGAATTAATTACAGTAAAACATATTCTTCGGAAACAGAAATCTACGTTCCTAGTGTAAAACGCCGTTTGAGGGACAACAACCCGATGTGACGTTCCTTAGGAGTTTATCACATTGTCATTGTCATTGTACCCCAGTTGCGTAGATCGATGCTGATCACAGGATTGTCTGGTCCAGACTCGAATAATTACAGACCGCATCCATATAGGTGGAATATTGCTAAGTGCGGCGTAAAACAACAAACAAAACTCTTTTGAAAAGGTTGTGATAATGGAAAGCGACAAAATTCATTCAAGACAGTTATACGATTCAGGTTGCAATGAAGATGTTAATGTATGTAAAGACCTATGTTTGGTGCAGGCTAAATATGCAACCAGCTAGGATTCGATAGCATTTTACTAGTGCTATAATCATTGAACATTAAGTGTTTTTTTCTAACCTTTGTAATTGTTGTTGTCTAATCCAAGTACGATTACCTTTCATTGTCTGGAAGTACATATATTAACCACCTCTTGGTATTGAAATGTGTTCACGAAAAAGCTAGCGTATCCTGCCTAACCAGGCAGCTGTAAAATAAATGCAAGTTGTTTTGTGGTAGTGCAATTCATTGTGAAACACTCATTCTCTCGAATTGTAGGTCAATGATGTGCTTGTTGCTGTATGTCGATTAGGGGGTCACGTGTAATCTGGAAGCTTCTTGAACAACATAGATCTACCCAGTATTGTCTAATCTAGCATGTTACATAATGTTCTGGAAAGACCTACACCAATTAAAGTGACAAGGACCCGCATGACATCAAGACGACTTGTCTATGAAGATGGTTACTTTCAACCTGGATAGCCAGCCTAGGAAGCTCGACCATTGGTGCTGCTAGGAGAATATGGATAGCCAGCCAAGGAAGCTCGACCATTGGTGCTGCTAGGAGAATATGGATAGCCAGCCAAGGAAGCTCGACCATTGGTGCTGCTAGGAGAATATGGATAGCCAGCCTAGGAAGCTCGACGATTGGTGCTGCTAGGAGAATATGGATAGCCAGCCTAGGAAGCTCGACCATTGGTGCTGCTAGGAGAATATGGATAGCCAGCCAAGGAAGCTCGACCATTGGTGCTGCTAGGAGAATATGGATAGCCAGCCTAGGAAGCTCGACCATTGGTGCTGCTAGGAGAATATGGATAGCCAGCCTAGGAAGCTCGACCATTGGTGCTGCTAGGAGAATATGGATAGCCAGCCAAGGAAGCTCGACCATTGGTGCTGCTAGGAGAATATGGATAGCCAGCCAAGGAAGCTCGACCATTGGTGCTGCTAGGAGAATATGGATAGCCAGCCAAGGAAGCTCGACCATTGGTGCTGCTAGGAGAATATGGATAGCCAGCCTAGGAAGCTCGACCATTGGTGCTGCTAGGAGAATATGGATAGCCAGCCTAGGAAGCTCGACCATTGGTGCTGCTAGGAGAATATGGATAGCCAGCCAAGGAAGCTCGACCATTGGTGCTGCTAGGAGAATATGGATAGCCAGCCTAGGAAGCTCGACCATTGGTGCTGCTAGGAGAATATGGATAGCCAGCCTAGGAAGCTCGACCGACCACTGGTGCTGCTAGGAGAATATGGATAGCCAGCCAAAGGAAGCTAGGAAGCTCGACGATTGGTGCTGCTAGGAGAATATGGATAGCCAGCCAAGGAAGCTCGACGATTGGTGCTGCTAGGAGAATATGGATAGCCAGCCAAGGAAGCTCGACCATTGGTGCTGCTAGGAGAATATGGATAGCCAGCCAAGGAAGCTCGACGATTGGTGCTGCTAGGAGAATATGGATAGCCAGCCTAGGAAGCTCGACCATTGGTGCTGCTAGGAGAATATGGATAGCCAGCCTAGGAAGCAAGCTTGACCATTGAACAGTTATTCCATTAAATAGTTATTCATTATTAAATACTGGTAAGAGAGGCAACCATTTGGTTGAGAAGCTTTCAAAAGTATTATTTCTTCTGGAAATGAATATTTCAGTGGTGAATATGTCTTTCAACATTCTTAGAAGAGCAAGTACATGTATAAACATATCTCTTAGCAGAGAAAGTTGTGCGATTTAGTAATGGATTCATATCTAAAATACCAAATCCAAATCAAACTTTTGTCAAATACTTTCCCGAATTCCTGAATACTTTCCTTGAATCTGTATAGACAAGCTAGTTTGTTCTTCCATTGTGACTGTGTTGCAGTAATACATGGCGTACAAGACCGCAGGTGCGACCCCATGTCCAGTCACGCCATTCCGTAATGAACATATATTGCTGTACCTACAGGGGTACTCTAAAGAAATTTTTTATATGTGGTTCTTGTTTTCCCCAGCATGTTGAAGCACAATCAAATTTTGATCCCTCAAGTGATCTTGGCCCTTGAAATATGCTTACCGGGTTGGAATAGGGTGAAGGTCCTCATATGTTTTCTGCTGTGAAGGACTATGTTTATAATCCTTTTGGTCTTGCCTCATGTTAATTCTGAGATGGGTTTGTTAGTGAATGTTTTATCATTTGGTTTGGGCTTTGGGAGTTTGTGAGGCTGCTATGGGTAATTTAATAGAAATGGACAAAATGAAAAGAATTCATAATGATAACGTCACACTCAGCACTATTCCAGCTATTTGTCTAATCATCATGATAAAGGTAAACATGACAGCCGGGTGATAAATTCCTAGCGTTTTCGGCACTCCCCGGTCAACTACGACTGCTACGGGCCATATGTTTTTTTATCAGAAAGTTATGTAACTGACTATGTTGTGCTAACACTAGGCCATCGTAAAATGATACAACTTTGACATGCCAATAAAACTAGAAAGAAATGGAATGTTTCTATTCAGAGTATTGCCACTATTGGTCCTGCACTTAATGTATCAGACTGAGATACGGCTGAGAATTGTAATGTAAAATTGTAATAACTTTCTGCTTTTTCTAGACTAAGCTGACTAAGATAATCAATTCTGAAGAGAAATTAGTACAAATCATTTATCATCTTCTTCAAGCTTCGAGATTCGTTTAAGAGTTTGTTCACTTGTGTATGGTTATATCTGGCCGTGCAGATTGAGCTGTGTCATGATGTAGATATAGGTGACGCCATGTGAAACAACATCCCTATGCTATTGATCCGATCAGCTTGAAACCTCCATGAAGGAAGGTCAATAGATGCTGAACCAAACAATAGTTCCTCCGGTATTTTTGTGCGTAAACATGATGGTAGTTATAAACACTTTTCAGACATGGAACTTGTGATCGTTCTTTCTCAAACTGATTCTTTCCCAAGAATCGATAACGTCACGATCAGTCACGTTAAGTACATCAGAAAGTTTAACCTAATGAAAGGGTATTGGCAAATTCCACTGACGGATGATTCCAAGCCTTTGTGAGTCCAGATGTACTTTATCAATACAAATGTAGGCCATATGTGCCATAGACAGGTCAGATCTGTTCATGCAGTGGTGGTAGCTAGTTCACCTAGCCCACTTTCCCAATACGAAAAAGAATTGATGAGATTCCTGGAATATAGTTACTGAAATAACTGAAAGGACATATCCATTACATGTACTGAAATAAGGTAGCCTTGCATTTACTGATGGAACGTTGTCCATCATTTACTGCAGACACATTGCCGTACTTAATGTACTAAGTCTTATATACTGAGTCAAAAAAGAAACTTCACATTCTTTCTTCAGGGCACTATAAAAGAACAAGAGATGGTAAGATGGTGACATTGTTATTATTTCATTGCTGAGATGTGTGTGATGTACTCGATACACTTACAGTGCCATAATCAGTTCCATTAGACTACACCGCCGTTCCAAAACATGGGTATACAGAATGTCAAGTCACAAGAATATAAATGCGAAATTTCTCAGTTCAATATCGTGTATTGCCGCCCTGCGCATTCACCACTGCCAAACATCGTCTCCTCATCGACTGCCTGATGCTTGTCAACACGTGGTTGGGGATTCTGCGCCAAGTTCCTGCAAATTCTGAGGTTGGTTCCTAAGACCACGAAGCCTCCTCCCAAGTGCATCCCAAACGTGCTCTATTGGATTAAGGTCAATGGATCTCGATGGCCAGTCCATGACGTTGATTCCAGCGTTTTGAAGGAAATTTCGTGTCAACATCGCGGTATGCGGCCGAGCATTATCATGCTGGAACTGTCGACCTGGGCCATGAGCCGCCATGAAAGGAACGAGTTCAGGGGTGAGCACCAGTAAGCAGCAGCTGTGAGGTTTCCACGGATGACCAGAAGTCGGGAACGGTTGTTCCCACAGAAAGCACCCCCACACCATGCAACTTCCGCCCCCGAATCTGTCGACTTCCTGTACACAACATTGGGCATACCGTTCACGA